GCATGTATCAATGTATGTCATTATGTATGTATGTATGTATGTCTGTCAGTATGTATGTATATATGTCTGTATGTATGTATGCAAGTATCAATGTATGTCTGTATGTCATTATGTATGTCTGTATGTATGTATATATGAATGTATGTCTGTATGTATACCAGTATCAGTGTATGTCTGTATGTCATTATGTATGTATGTCTGTATATCATTATGAACGTATGTCTGTGTGTATGTGTGTATGGATGTCTGTATGCATGTATGTCTCTCAGTATGTCTGTATATATGCATGTATGTCAGTCTGAATGTATGCATGAATGTATGTCTGTATGCCATTATGAATGTATGTCTCTGTATGTCTGTATGCCATTATGAATGTATGTGTGTATGGATGTCAGTGTCTGTATGTCTGTATGTATGTATGTATGTATGTATGTCGGTGTCTGTATGTATGTGTCTTTATGTCCTTATGCATGTTAGTATGTGTCTGTCTGTCACTATGTATGCCTGTGTGTCTGTATATGTGTGTTTGTCTAAGCATGTGTGTGTCAGTATGTATGCCTGTATGCGTCTATGTCTGTTTCAGTATGTGTGTCTGTTAGTATGTATCTGTGTCCTTTTGTATCAGTGTGTGTGTTTGTGTGTGTATTCCTGTGGGCGATATTTGGAGGTGGGCCTGAGCTGAGTTAGGGGCCCCAAAATTTCTGGTGGCTGCCCTGATCCCAGGCAAGTTCTGCATCTATAAAAACCTTTAAGGTCTCCAAAGCAGTTACTGGTGGGCTCCTTTTTTATACATTATTGTATGTATATTGGTGGAAACCTGCACAATTTACACACACTGTTTATGTTTTCATTTCTGGTCGCTATTTTTCATATTGTTTTGCGCACCTACAACTTTGGTTTTACCTATTCAGGAGCACTGACTGTCCCAGGATATTATGTACACAGACTTGTATTATACCTTTAGCAGCACTATACAGGGAGCACTGACTGTCCCGAGATATTATACACTGTATTATACAGATACAGGACTATACCGGGATCACTGACTGTCCCAGCATATTAGACACACACAGACCTGTATTATACAGAGAGCAGCGCTATACAGGGAGCACTGACTATCCTGGGATATTATACACAAACAGACCTGTATTATGCAGAGAGCAGCACTATAGTATTATACAGATAGATGAGCATAATACCATATGTTTCAATCTATAGACTACTAGTACCTGTTAACAGCAGCTCCCAGACATGTGTAACAGGGCTGGGTAATGCAGTCTTAAGTGTGCAGCAGCTCATGCAGGTAAAGCGCACCACCCCTATAAGTCAAATATATATATATATATATATATATATACACATATGTATGTGTATATATACATATATATATATATATATATATATATATATATTATACAGTAAGCAAACAAACTCACTGATACAGAGGCTCAAAGACAGACAAGTTCACTGACACACATATAAGGCTCACTGACAGACAAAACTCTCTGACTCACACACAAGCTTACTACAGACAAACTCACTTGTATAGACACACAAGGCTCACTACAGACAAGCTCAGACACACACAAGCAGTGCCACCTTAACAGCCACCTTAACCGGGCAAAGCAGTGCACTAGGGCCTTTCCTACACAACAACTTTATCCATAAAATTACGCTTATATTTATTGGTACCTTCAATAAATGCAATACATATATACAATACAAACACACACACAGACTGCTAAATACACGCACACACCGACTGTTAAATATACACACAGACTGCTGAGTACACACACACACAGACTGCTGAGTACACTCACACAGACTGCGGAGTACACACACACAGACTGCTGAATACACGCACACAGACTGCTGAGTACACACACACAGACTGCTGAGTACACTCACACAGACTGCGGAGTACACTCACACAGACTGCGGAGAACACACAGACAGACTACGGAGTACACACAGACAGACTGCTGAATACACACACACACACACACATACAGAGTGCATACACACAGTACACTGAATACACACACAAACACACACAGAGACTGCTGAATGCACACACACAGAATGCTGAATACATACACAGACTGCTGAATACACACACATACAGACTGCTGAATACACACACACACAGACTGTAGAATACACACACTGCTGAAAACACACAGAGAGACTGCTGAAGTGAATACGCACAGGCTACTTTATACACATACAGACTGCTGAATACATACAGACTGCTGAATACACACACACTCTGCTGAATATACACACAGACTGCAAAGAGGGGTGCAGTGTATGTGTTGTGTGTGTGTAGGGTTGTGTAGGGGTGTTGTGTGTGTGTGTAGGGGTGCAGTGTGTGTAGGGGTGCAGTGTGTGAAGTTTGCTGTGTGTATGTGTGTGTGTGTGTGTAGGGGTGCAGTTTGTGATGGTGCTGTGTGTGTGTATGTGTGTGTGTGGGGATGTGTGGGGGTGCAGTTTGTGACAAGGGAAGTTTGTGACGGGTGCTGTGTGTGAGGTGTGTTGAGTGTGCATGAGGGGTGCTGTGTATGTTTGTCAGAGGTGCTGTGTGTCAGAGGTGCTGTGTGTCAGAGGTGATGTGTGTAAGGGGTGCTGTGTGTGTGAGTGTGATGTGTGTGGGGGGGGGCATGTATCAGGGGTGCTGTGTGTGTGTGAGGTGTGCTTTGTGTGTGAAGGGTGCTTTGTGTGTGTAAAGAGTGCAGTGTGAGCGTGAGAGGTGCAGTGTGTGCTATGGGTGTGTGAGGGGTGCTGTGTGTGTGAGAGGGGTGCTGTGTGTATGCTGGGGTGCTTTGTGTCATGGGGTACTGTTTGTGTATAAGGAGTGCTGTGCCCTGGTGGTCTATAGACAAGCTCACTGACACACACACACAAACTCACTACAAACAAGCTCACTGACACACACACCGAGAAATACACAAGCTTTCTCACTAGCAGACAGACTCACAAACACACACCTGAGTATATCAAGCCTACCTGGCACTGGAAGCTGTTGCTGAGAGGTCAGGTAGCCATCTTCTGGCCTCTTCCAACTGCAGCAAGGTCTCCTGCTTAATGGTGGGGGTGGAGCTTGGTGACAGGGAGTGGGGCTTGCCGACCTGGGTGGAACTTCCATTGTGGAGCTTGTGTCCGCAAGGCAGAGCAGGAGCAGGGAAGCTGCTGGGAAATCCTCCCTCCCCCAGCAGCCTCAATGCAGCCCCCAGCATCTCTCCCCAGGCTCCAGCACCTCTTTCTGAATTCCATTTTTAAAAATTATTTCCCTCAGACTGTAACAGCCTGTTACAGTATGAGGGAAAACAATAAAAGCACATGGCCAGCAAGTTGCCGGTGTTCCGTCAGATTAGTATACCTTGTCAGATTGGTATACCGGAAGTGACGCGGCCGCACCGGAAGTGACGCGGCCGCACCGGTAATTTCGTTTACCAGCTGGAGGAGGAGGAGCGCAGCGCCGCGCATGCGCAGAAGATCAGGTAGGTAAACTTTACAGGCAGTGAGAGGAGAGGAAACCGCCTAATGCGCATGCGCCTTGAGACAAGAGGCGGGGGAGGTAGGGGCCAGTGCGCACGCGCGGCTATGTACTCCCGTCGGGCACAGACAGCGGGATACACCGCGCGTGCGCACCAGCGGGCAGGGAGATCGATTCAGCCGAACATTCATCCGATCTCCCTGCCCCACACTGCGCACGCGCCTACCCAGCCAGGACAGCCACGGACACCGCGCATGCGCACTGAGGGGGTATAGAAATCTGATGGCCATATCTTCTGCTAAGAAATCTCCTACCCCTCAGTGCGCATGCGCGGTGTCTGCACTGGATCCTGACATCCATCAGTAAGCTCCCAACACTCTCAGCCATCAGGGGGGACTGTACAGTATGGGGGGGGGGTCTGTACAGTATGGGGGGGTCTGGACATATGGGGGTCTGTGTACGGTATGGGGGTCTGTACGGTATGGGGGTCTGGACGGTAGGGGGTCTGTACGGTAGGGGGTGGGTGGTCTGTACAGTATGGGGGTCTGTACAGTATGGGGGTCTGTGGCGAGTATGGGGTCTGGACGGTAGGGGGTCTGGACGGTATGGGGGTCTGTACGGTATGGGGTCTGTACACGGTATGGGGGTCTGGACGGTATTGGGGGTCTGGGGACGGTATGGAGTCTGGACGGTGTGAGGTCTGTGTACGGTATGGGGGTCTGTGGACAGCGGTGTGGGGCGTCTGTACGGTATGGGGTCTGGACGGTGTGGGTCTGTACGGTGTGGATCTGGACGGTGGGGGTCTGGACGGTGTGGGGTCTGGACGGTATGGAGTCTGCTGGTATGGGGGTCTGTACGGTGTGGGAGGAGGTCTGTCCGTTGTGGGGCTGTCCGGTGGGGGGTCTGTGCTGTATATGGGGGGTCTGCGCAGTATATTGTGGGGTCTGTGAAGTATATTGGGGTGGCCTGTGTGTTAGATGGAGGGGCTGTTTCTTACATGTGGGGGGGCAGTGTATTATATTTGGGGGCGTTAGATGGTGAGCTGTACAGTACGTGTGGCCTGTGTGTTAGATGTGTACAACCCTAGTTTCATAGAAAAATATTTATTTCCTAGATATCATATGCCATGGCATGCTTTTTGCTATGAAACCGCAGCCATCTAGTCACTCGCCAGAGAAGGATGAGAAACTGCACCCCAGCGAGAGGGACTGCCCCACATCTGCAACCAAATCCGTCGGTCACCGGATTCAATAATCTCTGTCTCTTTGTGCATTGTGTATGTATGGTACTCCCGATTCTTATATTTAATCCGGTGTGTCTCCCACAATCTTTGTGTCTGTCTGCTGTATGTATGTGGCACGCAAGTCTGCATGCACAGTGTCTGTTATGCCAGTTACTCTAACCAGTTTATTTCTTTTTGTGTGTGTCACAGCTCTGACAAGCATGTTCTCCTACGGGACACGAAGTACATGAAGAGGAATGAAGAAGCCCATGTTTGATGCTCGTCTCCAGGGTGGAGTATTTTGAATTTATAAGTAATGAAGTGGCATCTGACACATGACAAGCTGCTCCTGTTTGCACAGCAACATTGTGTACTGTGACCACTGTCTAGTTCAGAGGTAGGTAACCTTGGGCAGTCCAGATGCTGTGAATTACATCTCCCATAATGCTGGCAAACCATCATGGGAGGTGTAGTGCAAAACATCTGGAATACCGAATGCGTATGAATGCAAAGTATGGTGTGTGTGAATGGTCAGTAACAAGGGTTGAAGCCTTGACGTGGCGTTACTGCTCACATGTGTATTCATGTGCCAATTCAACCAATGTGAGTCACTGTAATACTTATAAGGTAACCAAAAGTACAGTGATTGTGGAGAATGAAACGCCTGTATCACCTACACACTGTTTACACTGTGACCGTGTCTCCTATACACTGCTTCACTGTGACTGTATCTCCTATACACTGCTTACACTGTGACCGTATCTCCTAAACACTGCTTACACTGTGACCGTATCCCATAAACACTGCTTACACTGTGACCGTATCTCCTATACACTGCTTACACTCTGACCGTATCTCCTGTACACTGCTTACACTGTGACCGTATCCCACGAACACTGCTTACACTGTGACCCTATCGCCTAAACACTGCTCATACTGTGACCGTATCTCCTATACACTGCTTACACTGTGACCCTATCTCCTAAACACTGCGACCGTATCTCCTATACACTGCTTATACTGTGACCGTATCTCCTATACCAGTGATGGCGAACCTATGGCACGCGTGCCACAGGTGGCACGCCGGGCCCTCTCTGTGGGCACGCGGCCATAGGTTTGCCATCACTGCAGAGTAGGCGTCTGCCTGCCCGAAACGGCAGGCGCCTACTCTGCTTCTGTGTCGGCAGGACCGGAAGCAGGGAGGAGGGATCGAGGAAACAGCTCTCCTGTCCTCCTGCGAGCTATGTGGAGCGTTGCCGCGCGTTACCATGGCAACGCTCCACACAGCATCGCGCGGGAGGACAGGAGAGCTGCAGGACTTGTCATCCTGTCCTGCATACCACCACCAGACCACCAGGGATGGCTGTGTCCCCCCCTCCCCTTCACCAAAGGTTAGAAGAAGGGAAGGGGGGGGTAACTGATTTAATAATCTATCCCCCTTACCCACAGCACCCCTACCCCCAGCACCCCTACCCACAGAACCCTTACCCCCAGCACCCCCACTACCCACAGCACCCCTACCCCTCTTACCCACAACACCCCTACCTCCAGCACCCCTACACCCCATAGCACCTCTACCCTCCTTACCCACAGCACCCCTACTCCCCCTACCCCCAGCACACCACAGCACCCCTACCCCCCACACACAGCACCCCAAACACACAGCACCCCCACACACACAGCACCCTTTCCCCCCACACACACAGCACCCTTTCCCCCAAACACACACAGCACCCTTTCCCCCAAACACACACAGCACCCCAACCCCACACATTACACACAGACACATACACTGCACCCCTCAATGCAGTATATGTGTGTGTATTCAGTGTGTATTCAGCAGACTGCGTGCGTGTATTCAGCAGACTGCGTACTCAGCAGTGTGCGTGTATTTAGCGGACTGTGTGTGTATTTAGCAGTCTGTCTGTGTCTCGGTGAGTGTATGTATTAAGCAGTTGTTGTGTGAATGTGTTCAGCAGTCTGTGTGTATGTATTGCATTTGTTGGAGATACTAATATAAGCTTAATTTATATCGTTATTTAAAATTTGTATAATTTAACTCTCTGTTGTGTTCTTCTTTTAAAACAAAAGTTGTTAACTGTACGAGTAGTTTTTTCTAAACGTAAACCTCACTATTCAGGTTTAATTTCCATGTTGGCACTTTGATGGAAAAAAAGTTGGCATGTATTGCGGTTTGGGCACTCGGGCTCAAAAAGGTTCGCCATCACTGTCCTATACACTGCTTTTATTCAAAATTGAAAGCGCTCGATCATTCTTTTTATTCTACGCCTCCAATCTCCAACATTGAAATTGTCGTTTGTAATAATATAAAATAAGTAATATGCTTTCTGGTTACGAATTGGTGAGTTGTAACTATATTTTTTTAATTTTACAGTTCCAGAGGGAAGGAGCAAACCGCTTTGAGGAGTCCCTGCACAAGAGACTATTGGATACTGAAGGGCTGTACTGCAGTGTTGGCTCTAGACTTGGCGAGGCCTGAGGCGAAACTCATACATGAGACCCCACGGAGAACACCATTATTGAAGAAAAAATAGCAGTTGACTTTGTGTATAAGAAGCTGTAGATATATTGATGGGGGAGCTTGCAGCACTGGATACACAGAGCTAGTCTCTGTATACATCGTTGCATTATCTACCTGAGTGTGTGTCTGACAGTGAGTATCCTTGTATCTGTATGTATGTTTCTCTGAGCATGTGTATGTTTGTGTACTGACTGGCCTTTGACACTGAGTTTATGGCGAAGCTATGTTTTATGACGGTGTGTATAATGATTGCCTTTGGGGGGTGACAGGGTGAGTAAAGGGGTAACTGTGGCAGGGTGAGTGTAAAAGAGCAGAAGGGTGCCAGCGTGTTGAGGGTTGACAGGGTGTATGGAGGGAGGTGCCAGAGTGGTGCTCGTGTGTACGGGGAGTGGTGGCCGTGTGGGGAGGGTGACATAGCGTGAGAGGAAGGGTGATGAGGTGAGAGGGGAATGACAGAGTAAGAGGGGGGGTGACGTAATGTGAGAATATGGGTGACAGAGTGAGGGTGGGTGACATAGTGTGAGGAGGGTGACAGAGTGAGGGGGTGATGGTGAGGTGACCGTAAGAGGGGGGTGACAAGGGGTGATGAGGTGAGGTGACAGTAAGGTAGGGGTGACAGGGTGTGGGGGGCTGACAGGGTGAGAGGGGGGTGACAGGGGGATGACAGAGTAAGAGGGAGTGACAACAACAATATCTGATATTAGGCCACATGTGCAATTATTATGTAAATAATGGACAACATACTTTTTCAATTTTGTTAAATTATAAATTAAATATTGTTTGACTTTTTTATATTGCCACTTTTAAAAAGATTAAAACTCTTAATTTGTAAATCTACTGTAATTTGTCTGTAATAACGTTAACCTGTTAATTATTGTGGGACAGTGGAGAGCAAACCCAAACTAGGACTCTACCAAACAATCCAGGACTGTTAGGAAATATGGCTTTGTAACAACATATGATAATTGTTGTGGAAATAAAATATGAATATATACACATATAACTTTGTAGTTAGTAAAATGTCTATTTACCCATTGCACTGGAATCAGTAGATAAGCTATTCACGCATATTTAGACAAAATGGCTGCTAGAAGTTTCTAACCCCTCCCTCTTTATAACCTCGACTAACTACCTCGTGTAACAAGATGGCGCTGAGATCTGGGGGAGACCCTCATGGTCTCAGTGACATCACCTCTAGTAGGCAGAGCACTAAGATAACTACTTAACACCTAACCAATTATTGATGCATTATTCCATGTTATCTCTGACAATGCTTATGATGTAACTTTGCTTTAAAAGGGACTTGCCGTCCCCTCTGAATAAACATTCCTCAAGTTATTCAACTACCTGAAACTTGTGTCTGGTGTGAATTACTTCAGGGAGCGTGCACGCACTGTTTCATTAATTTGGTCAGGGGCAGATACACAAAGAATAATCAATCGATTTGAGTTGATTTCCACTTCAATAATTTATGGTGCATATAGGTCCTCTTGTCACTGTGCCTATGCATAGTTTTGCTTATAAAATGACTTTCAAAAGATAGCAATAAGCATAGTGAGAAGTTGCTCTTAAAAGGGACACAATAGGCACCAAGCCCACGTTATCTCGTTTAAATGGTTTGGGTGCAGTGCCAATGTCCCCTTAACCCTGCAATGTTAAATATTGCAGTTTCTGAGAAACCTACAATGGGACGCAGCAAGTGCTGGTATTATTTGTAGCTAAGTAACACAAATTACATGTTAAGGTGTCAGCAAAATACTTTATTTCTTCAAAGTTAATATGCATTTTAGACTTTATATGTATAGTGGAAAACATATAAAAGTCAAATTTGGAAACTGGTTAAGAAAAGTCACACTGTGGTATACAAGAAGGAGAAAGTTCAATCACATGTAAAGAAAGGCTGTATGGCATTAGGAAGGCAGTATCTTAATAATATAATGGTCTCTTTCCCTGGACGGTCCACGATTCTTAATCACTGGAAAATGAAGGTTGCATCATGTCTGCAGCATGCGTTCCGAAGCAGCCATATGGAAGTTTTCTATAGAAGAAGGTAATCTCTTCTGTTTGACCAGGTCGAGGTTAAAGGACCACTATAGTGCTAGGAAAACATACTCGTTTTCCTGGCACTATAGTGCCCTGAGGGTGCCCCCACCCTCAGGGTCCCCCTCCCGCCCGGCTCTGGAAAGGGGAAAGGGGTTAAAACGTACCTTTTTCCAGCGCTGGGCGGAGAGCTCTCCTCCTCTTCTTCTCCTCCCATGCGGCTGAATGCGCATGCGCGGCAAGAGCTGCGCACGCATTCAGCCGGTCACATAGGAAAGCATTCATAATGCTTTCCTATGGACGCTGGCGTGCTCTCACTGTGAAAATCACAGTGAGAAGCACGCAAGCGCCTCTAGTGGCTGTCAATGAGACAGCCACTAGAGGAAATAGGGGAAGGCTTAACCCATTCATAAACATAGCAGTTTCTCTGAAACTGCTATGTTTATGAAAAAAATGGGTTAACCCTAGCTGGACCAGGCACCCAGACCACTTCATTAAGCTGGTGGTGGGTTTGTCTCTGGCACTGGAACCATCAGTAAAGGTGTGTAAAATGGAGAGGATCACCTTGTTCTTCCCACAAATTAAGAAAACTCAGAACAGAAGATTGAGGACAGTGGTTAACAAATCAATGAAACCGCAAAACTAAAACTAACTTGAAAAAATAGCATTCACAGTGTAAGCAGTGTTTAGGAGATACGGTCACAGTGTAAGCAGTGTATAGGAGATACGGTCACAGTATGAGCAGTGTATAGGAGATACGGTCACAGTATGAGCAGTGTTTAGGAGATACGGTCACAGTGTAAGCAGTGTATAGGAGATACGGTCACAGTGTAAGCAGTGTTTATGGGATACGGTCACAGTGTAAGCAGTGTATAGGAGATACAGTCACAGTGAAGCAGTGTATAGGAGACACGGTCACAGTGTAAACAGTGTGTAGGTCATTCTCCACAATCACTGTACTTTTGGTTACCTTATAAGTATTACAGTGACTCACATTGGTTGAATTGGCACATGAATACACATGTGAGCAGTAACGCCACGTCAAGGCTTCAACCCTTGTTACTGACCATTCACACACACCATACGTTTCATTCACACACACCATACGTTTCATTCATACGCATTCGGTATTCCAGATGTTTTGCACTACACCTCCCATGATGGTTTGCCAGCATTATGGGAGATGTAATTCACAGCATCTGGACTGCCCAAGGTTACCTACCTCTGAACTAGACAGTGGTCACAGTACACAATGTTGCTGTGCAAACAGGAGCAGCTTGTCATGTGTCAGATGCCACTTCATTACTTATAAATTCAAAATACTCCACCCTGGAGACGAGCATCAAACATGGGCTTCTTCATTCCTCTTCATGTACTTCGTGTCCCGTAGAAGAACATGCTTGTCAGAGCTGTGACACACACAAAAAGAAATAAACTGGTTAGAGTAACTGGCATAACAGACACTGTGCATGCAGACTTGCGTGCCACATACATACAGCAGACAGACACAAAGATTGTGGGAGACACACCGGATTAAATATAAGAATCGGGAGTACCATACATACACAATGCACAAAGAGACAGAGATTATTGAATCCGGTGACCGACGGATTTGGTTGCAGATGTGGGGCAGTCCCTCTCGCTGGGATGCAGTTTCTCATCCTTCTCTGGCGAGTGACTTGATGGCTGCGGTTTCATAGCAAAAAGCATGCCATGGCATATGATATCTAGGAAATAAATATTTTTCTGTGAAACTGGGGTTGTACACATCTAACACAGGCCACACGTACTGTACAGCTCCCCATCTAACGCACATCCCCCAAATATAATACACTGCCCCCCCACAAGTAACGAACAGCCCCTCCATCTAACACATTGGCCCCCACATCTAACACACAGGCCACCTCAATATACTTCACAGACCCCCCCAATACTGGACAGCCCCCCATATACAGCACAGCCCCCCCAATATTTCACAGACCCCCCCAATATTGGACAGCCCCCCAATAATGGACAGACCCCCCCCCAATACTGTACAGACCCCCCCAATACTGTACAGACCCCCCAATACTGTACATTCCCCCCCATACTGTACATTCCCTCCCATTCTGTACAGACCCCCCATTCTGTACAGACCCCCCCATACTCTCCAGACCCCCCCTACTGTCCAGACCCCCATACTGTCAGACCCCCCATACTGTACAGACGCCCCCATACTGTCAGACCCCCCATACTGTACAGACCCCCATACTGTACAGACCCCATACTGTCAGACCCCCCATGCTGTCCAGACCCCCATACTGTACAGACCCCCCATACCCAGACCCCCCTACTGTGTACCCCCATACTGTACAGACCCCCACTGTCCAGACCCCCCTGTCAGACCCCCATACTGTACAGGGCCCCCCCCATACTGACCCCCCCCTACTGTCAGACCCCCATACTGTACAGACCCCCCATACTGTACAGACCCCATACTGTACAGACCCCCATGTCCAGACCCCCCCCATACTGTACAGACCCCCCCCCATACAGCACAGTCCCCCCTGATGGCTGAGAGTGTTGGGAGCTTACTGATGGATGTCAGGATCCAGTGCAGACACCGCGCATGCGCACTGAGGGGTAGGAGATTTCTTAGCAGAAGATATGGCCATCAGATTTCTATACCCCCTCAGTGCGCATGCGCGGTGTCCGTGGCTGTACTGGCTGGGTAGGCGCGTGCGCAGTGTGGGGCAGGGAGATCGGATGAATGTTCGGCTGAATCGATCTCCCTGCCCGCTGGTGCGCACGCGCGGTGTATCCCGCTGTCTGTGCCCGACGGGAGTACATAGCCGCGCGTGCGCACTGGCCCCTACCTCCCCCGCCTCTTGTCTCAAGGCGCATGCGCATTAGGCGGCCTCCTCTCCTCTCACTGCCTGTAAAGTTTACCTACCTGATCTTCTGCGCATGCGCGGCGCTGCGCTCCTCCTCCTCCAGCTGGTAAACGAAATTACCGGTGCGGCCGCGTCACTTCCGGTGCGGCCGCGTCACTTCCGATATACCAATCTGACAAGGTATACTAATCTGACGGAACACCGGGACTGGGATTTACCCTGGACAAACTCCAGCTTGCCGGGACTGTCTCTGCAAAAACGGGACAGTTGGCAAGTATGGAAAAGTGCTATAAAAATAGAAGGGGGAACATTATTATGAGAATAGGGAGTTTATGTTATAGATAAGAAGATTAGGTGGAAAATCAAAACCCCAAGAGAGATGAAAAGGTAAATGGTTAAAATTCAAGGGGTGGGGGGGCGTATCCTGGACTCCGATCATGGCAGCAGCATAATCCCTCAGCTCCATACCACCCAGCAGCATACAGCACTTGAAAGCCCTCACCCACCGCATAAATGGGAAGAACAAAGAGGCAAGACACCCCACAGACCTCCAGGAGCAAGCAGCCGCACTCACAAACGGGTCCGATGCACGACTACCTGGGCACTCCCGCCGGCCACCAAATGGGAGCCCTCACGCCCAACATGGTGCCGGCCTCCCCAGCATCCACATGCTCTGGAGAGGAACACATTACTCTGGCAGATATAAGAGCGGACTTACGTTGTATGTCAGCGGAGATGGTCACAAAAGAAGACCTCAACAGGGCCTCTGACACCCTGCATGCAGCGCTGAAGGCAGAAGTGGCAGGAATCAGAGCAGACATCACACTGCACGACGCACTCATTACCGCCATGGAACAACGCACAGAAAATGCAGAGGGAAGAACTAAGGCTACAGACACCGCAATTAAACGGCAAGGGGACCTACTGCTGGCCATGCGGCGATAACTGGAAGATTTAGACAATAGCGGTCGCCGCAACAACGTACAGGTGTACCTGAAGCAGACAGCTTGTGAGAGAACGTAGCGGAAACTCTCACCCAACTTTTCCGCATTATCCTCCACGAGGAGGCCCCGGACCACTTCAGATTCGACAGGGCGCATAGGGCCCTCAGACCATGGACGGCAGAAGGAGCTCTGCGCGACATAATATGTTGCATCCATTCATTCATTCATTCACTCACTCATTCATTCATTCATCCACATCCAACAAATAATGCTGAAGGCCCGTTCTCGCACCCATTGAACCTAGGCCCGTTTTCGCACCCATTGGACCTACAGAGGCACAGAGGTCACCCTCTACAACGATTTGTCTCCACTGACACTGGATGCCAGACGTGCCATGCGACCATTGACAACTGCACTGAGGGATAGAAACATCCCTTACAGATGGGGGTACCCTTTCAGCATAAATGTTCGACACCGCAACGAACTGATATCAGCCCGCAGTCCAGAAGAGATACCTACCTTCCTGAGAAAATTGGACCTGCCTAATATATCAGTGCAGAATTGGATCCTTCAACCTCTGGAGCTCACGCCCCAACCGCAAAGACCACCACACTGGAGGGGCAGGGAACAGCCAGAGAGCAGCTGGAGGCCAGACCTGGCCCAGCCCGAAGAATAACACCGCCCCTGGGCAGTCCTCACACCTCTCCGACAACACAACTAGTGACACTACGGTCCTGAACGTCAACCTCCTGCCACACCATGCCGACACTCTGACCCGAAGAACTCTGAACCTCGGTAAGACGGATGACCACCCTGACCCGGGCAACCCCCAAAAGGACAAGGGCGCCACATCACCTTACCATTTGGGGAGGGGGGATTTCGGGGGGAAGAGGGACACCATCTGAACCCGCTCCACAGCTCGGTGGACCTACCCAATCTACCCCACTAACCCAAGCTGTAGACGGAGAAGGGGAGAAAGACAGAGAGGGTGGAGGGAGCCAAGGATAAATATATATACATCTCAACACAAAAAAAAAAAAAAAAGTGAGGCGGGGGTACCCAAACCAAAGAGGGAGGGAAACAGAGCACGACTGGGAGGGGGGTAGAGGGGCAACTGGGGAGGGATCAAACACGGAACACAGGAACTATATGCACAACACAGGAGATTGGGGCTCCCCTCTTACGCCAGGCCCCAGATGGACACAGGCCACCAAGGACCCTAAGCTACAGCGGTATCAGCGGAGACCACGCATCGCGATAGAGTGTAAACCCATCCGCAAAGCCACATAAACAATGCTACACCAAACGGCACTAGTTCTTACCGAACTAATTAAAATGAACTGGCAACTGGTCAACCTTCAATTAGGATTTCTAATGGTACGCATCCTCCACTCTAACACTTAAATAGATTGAATATATTGACTAATTGTACCAGCACAACAGTGAAGTCAACCTGTGCCCCTTATTTCTCAAGTATAAGACGACTACGGGGGACAGGAAAACAACCCCCCTTAATTTCTACACCAGGAGTAAGGGCTTATTACTACATTTTGCATTACTCCCACCCTAGGAATAGGAACATAGCAATAGGGCCGATAGCGTGCAGGAGGGGGGGGGGGAAGAAGAGATAGAAAAGGGGGGGAGGGACATTCCATAATAAGTCACATTCAAACGCGCCAAGAGGTTGCCCTATAATTTTCTAACGGGAGTGTGATATACCCTGATTAATTTACTTTAGATTAGCTGTCTTAGCTTATGATCATCTACCTGGATATGACTCCCTACTGCACCAATACTGCACACGACCGTATTGACCACAATGACAGCACGGCGACCATTAACGCTACGAACTCTAGCAGTAATTGAGAACACCAATCACACAGCTCGCTCAGGGATAGGCATCCACAAAAGCACGTACCCCCCAGGGCCACCATAGGTGCTTGTATCCCTGACAGCTACCTAGACACGCACGAACAAAAAGCGCACCAATGTCCTAGTAACCGCCCTCAGCGGATGCAGCCCGAACTCACCACCCCCATCGGACCACCTGAAGTGGGACAGACACAATAGCGGCAGGGAGCAGAGACTAGAGGTGAGGAGCACACACAGCTAACAAGTGAGAGCAGGAGAGGAAGGCAACGACCATAGTACCTAGAGCCCAGGGAACGCGGGAGAGGGCGTGGGGCACCGAGGCACAGACTAGGTCGAAAGGGATTGCAAGACAATAATAATGATCCCATAAACTTAACCAGATCACATCGGTAAGCAGGCTACGATACATACACGACTTCACACGGTGGTGGAACTGCCCTGTAGACAACACTCACATTACCCACAGATACACATCTCCACTGGGGGACAACATACCCAACACACCTTGAACTACTACTATTTGCCGACTGGGCGACGACAGACACATACCCCACATCACCTGTGTGAACAATAGTTAAGGCGGTGAACCGGCAGGCATTGGTTCGGGATACTCTCTGACCGAACACCCCACCGTCTGCATCCGCGGTCACGCAGACTACCTTGTTAGAGCAAGGTCGACAACTTAGAGAAGCCTAAACACCGACACAACTAGACAGTATTACACACTCACGGTTGACTATACATCACTGGGACCGAGGAGGAGCTTGGGGAACCCTAGGCACTCCCATCCCCGCTGCCCACACCTTCTGCGCGGCAGGAAGGTGCTGTCAGCATGGCAATTATGACGGAGAGCGGCTCCTCGGGGTGCCCGAGTGGCGTGCGCCGGTCACGGGCCCCTCACCCCACAGGGACAGCTTATCGCTCTTGTCCACTCTGCATACTCACCCACAATTGCAGGGGACTGAACATCCCAGAGCGGAGAACACACCTTCTTCGGGAACTTCGATGACAGCGAATTTCAATAGCATTCCTTCAGGAAACTCCTTTTCAGGAAGGCACCGCCCCAACCCTTGGGGACAGGACATCCACACACATTCCTCAGCAACCATCACTCATCCAAGAAGGCAGGAGTGGCAATACTGCTCGCCGCGCAGTTGGGCTTCACGGAAACTGATAAAATATTGGACCCGGAAGGACAACACATTTTCCTGAAAGGCACAATTGCAAACAGAACTCTAGCGTGCATATACGCCACCAACCGGAAACAATCGCAATATATCCGCAGAACACTGACAGCCCTGGCAGACTTTACGGAAGGCACCCTTATACTCGGAGGAGACATTAACGTCCCTCTAGATTCCAACCTAGACACCTCCACAGGGCGAAGTAGCATCCCAGAGAGAGAAATTCGAAGCATCTTGAAGGCCCTCAGGCACCTACGACTAGTGGATTACTGGAGAGCCTTGCACCCCACGGTGAAGGACTACACACACTACTCAAGGGTCCATGCGAGATACTCAAGAATCGATTATATATTCCTCCAGCAAGAACAACTCACCGCACTGCAAAAGGCGACCATCGAAGTGGCCACATGGTCCAACCACGGGGCGGTAACGGTGGAATTAGACTCCCCACTGACGAGACCGAGGGTGATGACTTGGCGGCTAAACGACACCCTATAAGACGATGTAGAAATCAGGGACAAAATCGCAGAAGCCCTGGCGGAATACTTCTCGAACAATGAGACTGGCGACACCCTGGCCACCACTATGTGGGAGGCCCATAAATGTGTCTTGAGAGGCCACATAATCCAACTGGCTACGAAAAAGAAAAAAGATGCCCAGCGACAAATAGCGCAACTCCTCCAGGGAATCGGGGACATAGAGGCACGTCACAAATGAACACTCGCAGATGAATCGTACACCGAATTGCTGGAACTCCGAAGCCAGCTACAGGCATTACTGGTCAAGAAACATTAGCAGCAACTACAGAGATCAAAAGCCTTCTATTATATACATGCGAACAAAGGGGCCAGATTTTTGGCCCGCATGCACAGGGGACACCAAACGCTTGCCCATGTACACAAGCTAAAACTACCCGGTGTAAGAACCACTCAGCACCCCGAAACGATAGCGAATGAGTTCCGAACATACTACACCCAACTGTACAACCGGCACCTACAGCCCTCTACGATCCCAACACACACACCAGGAAAAGGGAGATCCAACAATACCTGACACGACACCTCGCCAAACACATAACTCGAGAAGAAGCTGAGCTCATAGACGGTCCCATCACGGAAGAGGAAATTAAGGCAGCAATCAAAACAACAAAGACAGGCAAGGCTCCGGGACCCGACAGGTTCACACTTGAATATTATAAGAAATTCGGGGAAACGCTCATCCCAAAATTAACCGAAGCCATGAACGCAATCACAATGGAGAACAAGCTCCACGATGACACACTAGCAGCAATCATAACCATTGTCCTCAAACCAGGGAAGGACCCAGAGCTATGCAGCAGCTACAGACCCATCTCCCTTTTAAACATTGACAAAAAATTATTTACCAAAGTCCTTTCGAGCCGCCTCAACTCGTTCCTTCCTAGAGTAGTGCACCCCAATCAGACGGGCTTTATTCCAGGCAGGGAAGCTCGCGATAGTACATTACGGGCCCTCTCCATCCAGCACCTCACCAAACGCGTGGGGGACCAACTGCTACTCCTATCCACCGATGCGGAAAAAGCCTTCGACAGGGTGGACTGGACATACCTGTCGGAGCTGCTCAAGGAGATGGGTTTCGGTACCAATCTGCTTACCTGGATCGCTGCAATATACAGCCGGACGAATATACAAGTCAGGGTAAACGGGGCGCTCACGACCCCTTTCCCAATTCAGAACGGGACAAGACAGGGGTGCCCCTTGTCCCCGCTGATATATGCCGTAATGCTGGAACCCCTACTCGAAGCCATACGGAACAATAGAGACATTAGGGGATTTCATTCCAAAGGGACGACACATAAAATAGCAGCATACGGGGACGATATGTTGTTCTTTATCTTGCAACCCAGAATTTCCCTCCTTTGCCTGCTACGAGAATTCGAGGCCTATGGACGTATATCTGGCCTTCA